AAATTTCGCAAATTAATGCATTTTCAAGTGTACTAAGTTCTAAAGGGTACGCGAGATAATTAAAAACTTTTTGTCAATTGTACTATTAACGAGACGTATGTACTTCTTCGAGTCGTATGTACTTGCGACTCGATTTCGATGAATTTTAATTGACTTCAATTGCTCGAAACGCGAAAGAAACTCGAAATTGGCATGGATATACCCTGTCCGGTCGAGTGAAACGAGAAAAGAGGGATTTAAGTATTTCAGCTGAACACCTAATTGCACTAAATACTTGTTAAAATGTCTACACGACGAACAAGCAGAAAAACGTCCATTCCTCTCTAAATCGAAGGTACTCGGTGATTATTCGAAAGGATCGTGTCGCGAGAAGTACCATTTTTTTCCCCCTTTTCTTTGGACTGTTCGACTGTTCTCAAAAGTCGTAAGAAGCCTCGTCGTCCTTCTGCCTCTGCCTGAACGCCAGTTTGTACAGTGCACCGGCGGCACATCCGCCGAGGATCGGTCCGACCCAGTAAATCCACTGATTGTGCCATTTACCCTCGACGATCGCCGGGCCGAGCGACCTGGCTGGGTTCATGCTGCTCCCAGTCACCGGCACCGCAGCCATGTGAGCAACGGTGATGGTCAAGCCGATCGCCAATGGCGCCCATCCTTTCGTGTCGGGCCTCTTCGGATCGGTCACTGCGTGGACAACCAGAAGCAAGAGGAACGTAACGATCGCCTCCATGAAGATTCCTTGGATCTCGTTCACCCACGAGCCGAGACCTGTCACGCCCAAACCATTGCTAGTCGCCTCGCTAGGGATCAACAGCTGCAAACACACGCACGTGATTCTGTGAAAATTTAAACGACTCTGCTGAAGCTTCATTCTTTTTTTTTTTTTTTTTTGTAGGGTTCCGATTGGACAGCTTCATTAACACGCTCGGTGCCAAGCCATTTTTGCCTTTTGTTGTCGTTTGATATTTTGACTAAAGGTTGATTTATTATCACACAATCTTTCATTACAT